CACCACCCCTCCTTCATGCTGCCTCCCTGCTGCCTCCCCCCCACACACCACCACCACCAGCGCCTCACCTTCTTGCTGTCGTCCTGCGCATTGTACTCCATGTTTTTAAGCGCCAGCTCCACGCCGTACCCGGGCACCACCAGCCGCCCCTCGGTGCCCAGAGCAGTACACGGGTGCACCACGCCCTCCCCCGCCGCCGAGCACGCCGCCGCGTCCAGCAGCGGGCGCCAGGCATAGGCAAGGCGCGGCGCGGCGGCCGGCGCGGCGGCGGCGGCCGCCGCTGCGTCCGCGCGCTCCGCCGCCGCCGCCAGCACCGCGTGTAGCTGGGCGCCGCAGCGGCTGCCGATGGGCGCAAACAGCTCCACGGGGACGGTGGCGGGCGCGGTGATGTTGAGCGGCGGCGCCGAGCTGGCGGCGGCGGCGTAGATGTGGTCAAAGGGGTACACGGCGCCCGCGCCGCCCTCCACGCCCCGCCCCGCCCCCTCCCGCAGCGCCGCGGCCTTGGCCTGCAGCGCCGCCGCCAGTGCGGCCTCCAGGGGCGCCGCCTCGGTGTATGCTGCCCCTCCCAGCAGCGCCCAGCAGCAAGCCGGCGCCGCCGCCACGCTCTCCCACGCCAGCTGGCGGAACATCTCCAGCCGGGGTGAGTACTGGCGGGCTGCCAGGGCGGCCGAGAACAGGCGGGCCATGTTGGGGGACAGGTGCGCCGCGGCGGCCTGCCGGATGCCCGCCCAGCACTGCTGGGGCGAGGGCGCGCCGCCCAGCGCCTCGCTCCCGCGCTGCCACTCCTCCACAAACCGCCAGAACAGCGCCGGAACCTCGTCCGCCTGCGGGTGGTAAGGGCGACGGCGGGCAGCGGCACGGCAAGAGTTCTAAATGAATCCCAACAAACGGAACATTGGCTGACAGACGTGCAATGCTTGATGACTGGCGGCCTGCAGGCACTGCGTCGGTGACGCGGCCCCGTACCGCGCCGGTCGCCCGGGCCGCTCACCAGGAACTCTGCCGCCTCGTGCAGCAGCGGGGTGGCCTGCCACTTGGCCTGCACCGTGATCTTGACGCCCTTGGTCTCCCGACGTGCAGCACGGGCCGCGGGCACGCCTGCCAAGGCCGCTAGCAGCAGCAGCGCCACCGCTGCCGTCGCCGCCGGGGCGCGGTGCCTCCACCCCAGGGAGGGCGCCATTGCGGCGCGTCTTCTGTAGCTCCTGCTCCTTCCAGCCGCCAGGGAGCGGGTGGGGGGCCGCAGAGAACGGCACGAGAGCAGCGGAGCGGGGGATCGCACGATGGCGCCTGATGGCTAACCCAGGCAATTGATGGGAACCAGAGAAGGCTCACGCTGTGAATTGCAATCGAATGGGGCCTCTGCCGCTGCGATTGCACATGTACGGCGCCAGCAGCGAGGGTACAGTCGCTCCCTGCGCCTGACGAGGCGTAGTTCGAGTTTCCGTGTTTAGCAGCTCGTTGGGACACCGCAGCAGTCACCATGTCGGTGAGTCTCACAGGCATTCCGGTGCTGGGTGATGAAGGTTTGGGAGCACTCTGACGGCTGCCGTGTGTTATTGCAGGCCGAAGACGCTGCAGCAGCCGCTGAGGCAGTTGAGCAACTCACAGGTGAATGCTGCGCCCTGCATGATTCTGCGTGAGCGGCTCGCTGGGCCTTGCGGCGGGCCCTGCTGGGCCCCAGGCGTCCCAGCGGGCGAACCGCATTGCGCGAGGGACGCCACAGTGTGCGTGGGGGCGGGCGGTGCAGGACGAGGCGTCGGCCGCCACCCGGTGCCGCCGCGCCCCTACCCCGACTGTGCGTGCGCCCTGCCACCGCTTCTCCTGCACAGTGGACGATGGCGACCTGAACCTAGACTTCGGCAAGAAGAAGAAGAAGAAGAGCAAGGTCAAGGATGCAGAGGCGGGGGCGGAGGGCGAGGCGGCGGCAGACGGCGAGGCGGCGGCGGCGGCGGGCGGCGAGGAGGGAGACGACGAGCTCAGCCTAGACCTGACCCTGGGCAAGAAGAAGAAGAAGAAGAAGGCCAAGGCGCGGGCAGAGGACGACTTTGGGGGGATGGAGGGCGAGGCGGAGGAGGGCGGCGAGCGCAGCAGCGGCGGGCTGCCGTGGGAGGGGTCTGACCGAGACTACACGTATGAGGAACTGCTGGGTGAGTGGTGGGTGCAGCAGGCGGCCCCGTGGTGGGCAGCCAGGGCGGCGGGGAGTGGAAAAGGGGGGCCTGGGCCCGAGGGATCAAGCTGCTGGAGGGGCAGGGCCCTAGGGAGGCAGAATGCCTGTGCCAGTCACCACTGGCCGGAGGTCGAACAGCACAGGGTCTGCCCCCCGCCCATGCCGTCGCCCCTTCCTGCGCTGCCGGCAGGCTGGTGCGTGCCCCCGCCTCCCCACTG